AGGCATGTATCTGAATTTTTATAAGCTCATTGGATTTGATTCAACTTCTAGGTGATGTTGAGAAAGTGTGGGGAGGGGATAGAGGGCCTGGAAGTCAATGCCGAGAAAAACAGGTAACTGCTGTCTAGGGCATAGTAAAGCAAGCTGGGGTGATGAATTTTCAGTTAGTTAGAGTTTGGCATCAGACCCAAAGCAGGTATCTCCAGGAGTATGACAGAGAAAATTTGCCCTCGTAAAAATTGTGTATGCCATACCCTTACTGAGCTACTTCTCAATGCAAGAGGAACAATCTGTTCTCACTCAGCAGTTCTTAAGAAAGTACTGAATGCCAGAGATTAGAAAATGTTGAATGGGAACACACTGGTCGCCTTACCTTTTAATATAGGTCAAAACTTAGCAAGTGCCAAGGAGAGAGGGAGTGATGCAAAGATATAATCTCTACACTTGAAGAGCCTGGTACATGAGTAACTGCAACCCCCTGTGAAAGACTCTTACTTTTCAAATGCTTTGGAGACACAGCTAAGGAGGCACTGCCTGCCTGTAGCAAAGTTGGGGAATTTTACAGGCGACTTAAGAAGGTGCCCTTTGCCAAAAGGGGAAAGCACACGGCACCAAAAGCTGACCCTGCAGGGACTTTAGGTCTGAGGGACACACCCGCTGTGGCTGCTAAGTTGGGTAAGACTTATTAAGCAGATGGCTTGAGTATAATGAAGGAAACCCATTTCTGCCACTTTTAGAAATCAGAATTGGATCTTCAGATAATATCCATTTTCTGGGAATGGTTGCTTTCCTAGAAAAGTTCAGATACCTCTCTCGTAAATATTTGTAATCGATCGTCTTGAATAAAGATTATAACAAGCCATAATTAGGGGGTACCTAGCTGAAAATAGAAATGGTTGTCCTCAGAACTACTTCTTACTCAGAAGTATGTTCAACAGAAAAAAAATATATAAATTTTGGTTTCACTTTAAGCTTGCAATGTTTTATTCATATAAGTGGTAAGTTAATCTGCCCTTTCACCACTCATTTTATTCTTTAATCCTTTCTTTTTTGGAGAAAGGTTTTTACTAGGAAACATTTTATTAAGCATGGAGAATGTTTTATAGACAGACTTCTCAATAATGTGAGTTGATGTTATCAAAGTTAGGGTCACAATCCTTGCTTCATGGCATCGTTGAATATTGAAGAAGTTCTGATGTTCACATTGTCCAACTTTTCATTGAATGCAATACTTCTTTTTAGTATGTTCTTTGTAGGACAGAATGTGTAGTTCTGCTTGACTGTATGTAGGGTTAGGAGTGGAGTTTCCCAAAACGAATCTTTCCATTTCTTATTATCTCTAATGCTTAGTGAGGGCTTCCTTATCTAATATCTTAGGAATTGCAATCACTGGTCTCATTTCTGCACTCTAGAGACTAAATTAGTCTTCTAATTTTGGTTGTAGTTGATGAACCTTAAATTAGGTCAAGATTGATACCCCTTCATTCCCTGCATCCAAACATGTCTCTTTAAGATAAGAATACCTCAGATTTTTTCAGTGTGACATTAGTTTTTGCACTAACTTAGTCCCCACTAACCTGAGCAACTTGTAACTAATTAGTTGTCTTCCATTTTATTTGGACTGGGGAAAAAGGACAGAGTTAGACAATCATTTAAGATATAATGTTAAATCACATACCTCAATCAGACAGAGTTGGACTATTTGAACACCAGATGGAGAATTTTCCCACTTTATTTCAAAGGCATAGGTGAACCCCAAAAGCTTAGTTACGTAGCATCAGAGCTTAGTTGTATTAGACTTGCACTCAGATTATTTTCTCAAACATTTCAATGTCAGTTAACATTTAACATTTTAACCCTGGGCTTTAAATTAGATGAAGCGTTGAGAGTTGTGGGTTTATGTTTGAACTTCACTGGCTTTTTTTCTGGTTTTGCCTATGGGCACAAGTGATGCTGAGACTTTTCTCTGCTTTTTTCCCTGCTACATAAATGAGTAGTCCTATCTCTCCACAATGACTTGACTAAAAATTAGTCATTTTTGATAGTGTATGAATTATTTTAAAATAACATTTACTGTAGGGTGTGAGTCTGTCACGAAATTCTTTAGCATTGTGCATGGTCTGGTTGACTGATAGTGCATGGGATTTGAATTTAGAATTTAGGCCTCAGTCACCATCATCTGAGTAAGCATAATGGGGCATTCCTTTCAAGATTCATGTAACAAAAGGTGTAACCAAGTTTTGATTTGCAGTGCTTAAATTCTTTTGAATGTCATTTCATTCTTTCTTGAAATACAAGATGAGGCATGCAGCTACCAAATTGCCGTCGTTGTTGGAAATTTTCTATGTAACATAGCATTGTTTTTATTTTCTCCAAAGGCGTTTAAACAGAAATCACCTTCAGCTGTTTCCAGAGTTGCTGTTTCTTGGCTGTTCGAAGCTATACAGGCTGTAAGTAGACAGAAAATGTTATTGTTGCTTGGGTCGTATCTGTACCTTGTGTTTTCTTAAATGTGTTTTGGATCTGTCTCCTGCTGTTTTCCTGGAATCTGTTTGCTGATAGATTAATGGATTCAAAGCTTATCTTTGTGTTTTCTAAAGGTTATTTATGATTGGTTTTCCATTTGCTTTAATGTCCGTATTTGGTGAGCATTTAGTGGCTTGTGTACATTATTGAAATTGTATCATTGCTTTGGGTCATGTGATAGTGGCGAGATGTACCAACTGGAAATTTTTGATTAAATTCTAAGGAGGAAAATAGCTACTGTGGTTCCTCTCAAGAGGAAGTTGGCAGTGTGTTCTTGTAAAGTTGAGAATCTTAATGGCAGTTCTTTTGGTATTATTCCTGCACTCAAGTAGTAGTGTTTATTAGTGTGAAAATATTATTATAAGGTATTTAACAAGTGCTGTAAATTCCCTTTTAAATATTGCTTTTAAAGCCAAATTCCAAACCCTGCAATATGAATGACTGTAAGGTTTTCATATCAGATACATCATAGACTATTAAAGGAAGTAGTTTTAATGGAGCATAGTGCAAATACTAAGTAGAATCAGTTTTTCCTTCTTGAAATGCTTGTTTGGTGACCTAATGTACAACAGTGAAAACATACTTTTGAAAGCTTTAAAAATTACATTTCAGCTCTATGAATGGTTTTGTACAGGTGGAAGATAAGCTACAAAGTGTTAGGAAAATAAATTGCAATGATTATTGATATTGTGCATGTTGCAAAAAACTGCTGGGACATAGAGAGAAAAAGATTCAGGGCAGGCCCACTCGGGCTGCGGGGAAGTCCCACGTGGTCACATGTGAAAAGAAAGGGTGCATATTGCTTTTTTCCAAGCTTGACAATGTAGCCAAGTCTTTGGAGCCTCCGGTTTAGTACTGTCGTCCATTCCAGAAGTAGGAGAACAGTCCTCCCACATGTACCACCATCGAAGCCAAGAAACCAAGGTCTGTGCGAGGTCCTCGCGATACCTCATTTCACCCTAGTGAGAACTTTCCCAGATGACGCATCATATCTTGTCTCTAGAGTCTGGCTTCCCTGATCTGCTCCTCTAAGGACAGCTAGAGTTGCTGGCAGTTATACTGCTTTTCTGCTTAATTGGCCCAATTGAGTACGCTTTAAAAAACCAAATAAAGAAACTTCTTTTAACACATATTCTCTGGGGACTATTTTTTACCAAGGAAATAGTATGTAGGCTGCTATAAAAATTATATGTACATATCTGAGTTGAAACTTATATTTCAATATTTGCTTAATGTTTCTAAGAATGACCACAGAGTTGGTTTTATTGGTATTCCATTTCCTCTTTTGGTTATTAGCGATTGAGGGATTTGAAATACCTAGCTTCAAGGCTAGTACTCAGTGAGCACTATTTAAAGTGCTGCTTTGCTAGTCCTGTATATATAAACAATATACAGCAGCTCAGGAAACTGATTCTTTGTACAATAAATATACATTTACATGGAATGGCTGTTACCTGGGATTAAAATAACTAAGTTAAAGAGGAGAAAATGTAGGAAGCAGCCACTACACTGTCTCCGAGAAAGAAGAATATTTAAGGCTTATTCTAGACATATCTGGATCCATTTCTCCATTTGTTTTCTGGTAATGTAATCCCTTGTAGAGCCCCTACCAGCAAATTATACTCTGATTGCCATTTTCCCTTTTGTGACAGTATGTCATAGTTGAACAAGAGGTTTTCTTGTATATTTTATCATTTTAGCTTTAAGCCTTTTTAAGAAAGAAACTTGAAATAGTTGGGAATTGAGTTAAAGAAAGAGAATCCATAAAACTACAACAATGTTTTCTAATTTATTTAAGGCAAGTTAAAAAATTGGAAAATGGGTAGCTGCAAAGTCTATTCAGAATTATTATTTGTTAGTTTGAATCAAAGAATTTTCCAGGGCAGTAAGTTGCATAAAATTGTATTATGCTGTACTAGTTAATAAGAATGTACACATTTTGATCCTTCTGTTTATACCTTTATGGCGTGGTATTTAGTCGCAATAAGGTGTCTTTCCTTATTTGTCATTTGACAGCTGATGTAGCCATGGGGTGCACGTAGGAATCTAGGGTGCATGTTTTATCTGCATTCTCAGGTGAAGAATGTTCTTTTGTATTGAGAAAAGTTGCCTCATCTTAATTGGATTTAGGGGAATTGTTAACAATAGTATTTCTCTTCAGAAGAAAAGCTATAAGCTACATGTGGCCACATGATTCTTAATTAAGCAGCTAGTATGAAGGGTCTGCAGTAACAAGGCAACCAAGGTGCAAAAACTTGTGAGCTTCTACCTACAAGGCTGGTGTAACTATAAAGGACCATGTTCGTATTTTATGAATATGATATAAGTAGCTAGTAGCTTTTCTGAGACAGATATTCTAGTGGATGGAAAACTGTATACAAATCTGTGTGCAAGAATGTCTTTTACAAAAGTCATATAAAAATGAATCTTTTCTGCACAAGAAAGATGACAGAAGGAAGGATTCCAGATTATTGATAAGTAATGGGGAAAAAATTGTTAGGACAGATGCAGTATTTGCCTGGCATATATATATGGATTCATAAGTACCAACTTCCTCCCTCTGTGTCTCTCTATATCATATATTATTATATAAGATATTAATATACATTCTCATGAGAGAAAAAATTAGATGTTCTTATTGTAAAATGCTATATGATGCCCTAACACTTTTCTAAAATATCATCAATTAAAAAGTTTACAAGTTTAGTATATGAATAAAGTTTGATATTTAGCATAGTTTGCTGGGATGAAAGCTGTTTAATATACTGAATGCAGTGTAGTTTTCTTTGAGCTTTTGTAATGAATATCCTCATTTGACTCTTGGCTGAAAATGAGATGCCAGGGCAAAGACACACATGCTCTTTGTGGATTCTAAACACAGTATAAAAGGCAGAGAGGGTACACTGTATATGAATTATGATTCGACACGGTTTATTGGTGCTAGCGGCTAAATATGCTTTCCCTTTGCTGTCTGCTCCAATTTCTCTGCGGACGGGCTGAGAGAGCACTGGGTGTTCAGGTCAAGATGTTTGCAAAGAAATAGTAGTACAGTTGCAGCTGTGTTTGTTGGAGCAGGAGACTAGTTTAAATAGCATTACCATTTATCCAGTCCATTAACAGAACTCTGTAAAATAATACCAACTCTGCGTAAACTACAAGACAGTGTAATAAAATTACAAGCACTTGTTGACAGATGGAAAGTGTAAGTAAAGAGAAAGTAAAGTAAAGGCTGATGGGTTGAAGGTTAAAATAGACAGCACACAGTTTTCTTAGCATATGTATAGTATGCGCAGACTCTAGCCTCTCCTTTGTTCTCCTCCAAAACCTAGGTTGCATTTTTGTGATCAGCCTAAGCAAAGAGAAGTTTCTTTTCAGAGCATTCCGAAGCTGGTTAACTGCAAAAGAGATTGTGCTAAGTGTTGAGGTGTTTGACTGTGATTGGTTCATCTGGGTGAGTCACCCTGAAATCTTCCACAGGAGTGTAACCTTAAAGGTGGCTTCGGGCTGTGATTCACAATTTCCCACTTGAGTCTGCTGCTCCTCCTCTGGACTCATTAGAGAAGAATTTCATTGATAATACTGTGCTGAGGGGGCTGTCATAAACACGTGTTCTGTGGTTTTTAGTTTACTTCTTTGAGTATTGTTATATTTATGCAGGCTTCTAGCAAAGTGTGACTGTCCAACACAGCAGAGACCCCTGTTCACTTTCTTCTACCCAAACAAAACAAACAAAATTAACTCCCTGAGTCCCACTGGCATTCTTTATTCCCTTCTTTGAATGCAAGTTCTTATTTCTGCTCCAGAAGTGGCATTTATGATTCTCTTGTAACTTTTACAGCTACTAAATTTCCTAACACTATAAATAGCATTGCTAACATCAAAAGCTAATTATTGGTAACTGAGACAAAGAGGTTTGCACCATTTAAATTGATAGTCAGAATGAAGCACACTTGGGTGTCATATAGGAACTCAGATTCTCAAAATTGTTTCTAATAGTAGCAGTAATTTTTAAACAAAACTCATTTTTGTTTCTTTGATGTAAAATTTAATTTAAATGTCTAATGAAGTTGCCTTTGTTTCTCTTTTCTCTGCTTTCATGGAGCCTTAATTTTTCTAAATAAAATTATACGAGTAATTCGTACTTATTCTAAAACAGTTCAAGCAACTCAGAAAAATGCAAAAGAGAAAGCAAAAAATATCTTACCACCTAGACAAAACTACTACCACTTGTCAATTTTTATCTTAGTTTTACTTTTATGAATATGCATATAAATTCTGGTTTTACATGTATTTTGGAAAAAAGACTTTTTCATACCTCCAGGGTCTAGTATGAGGCCTGATCTTTGGAAGCTCCCAGAATGTGTTTGATGTATTGAATTAAACCTCTGTCGAGCTCAGGGTTTGCAACCTGAATGGGCAAATAGTAACTCTGGGAGGCCATTATGGATAATAGAGAGCCAAATTAAATTTGAAGGATAACTTGGCTAATTAAATATTTGGTTCCCTTAGGTTTTCTAAACACTGAATGGTTTCAATAGACACAGTATAATCAAAATGATCCATTTTCCACCCAAGCAAAATATGCCTTAATTTAATATACCACTATTTTTACATAGAACTGACCCCCTAGTTCTCGGATGTCGAATTAGTTTCACAGGATTCTTGTAGTCATGCATAGAAGCAGACTGCGGCAGTGACGTCTGTGTAGAAACTCCTCATGAATTAATTTCTGCCACCTCTGATTAAAATGTGGGCTCCCGGAGGTGTCAGGTGCCACAGTTCTGTACTTCGCTGTGCTGTTGGCCTGGTTGGCCCCTGCCACAATAAATCCTGTAGTGGTTGTGGAGGAATTGCAGGGTGCAGTTGCTACGGTTACCGTCTTCCAGGCTCCACGTCATTACTCATCCAGCAGGCTGCTGTGATA